TATATTTAAATCTTTAAAGTATGAACCCATTCCAGGTTATATAGCTTAAGTTTTATTTTTTTTTCAGGTCTCTTACTTTATCTCTTTTTTATAGAAAAGAAAATCTTTATTTCCTGCTTGTGACTTTTCTTTTTCTCAGTAGACACATGTTGACAATAAATTCAGATATGTTGGTTAAAATGAGGGTAAAAGTATGCAACAAAAAATGAAAAGCAGATTGATCGTAGAGATGGAACATTCTATGTTTTCATAATCTTGAATTTATATTTTTCCTGTTCTCAAAATTTTACAACTGGCAGAAGCCATGTTTGATTGTTTTATAACAGTAACCACATTTTTTGGGGCAGCTGTATAATTTTATGATTATAGAAAAAAACTAAACAATTTCGGCTTTCTGATATTCTTATCTGCATAATATTTTTGTTTTTGCTTATGGGTCATATTTCTTTCTTTTCAAAATGTAATCTTTTTAAAGAGAGGAGTCTAGCAAGTTGCTTTAACTTTAATTACCGGAGGCCCAATAATGAAGACATTCTTAGTACTTGGGAAAAAGGAAGAACTTGTACCAAAAAAAACTTTAATTGATTTTGCCAATCTATCATCTGATACTATTAGATGTTAGAAACTATTAAATCAAATTTAAAGAGACTCTGTATGTTATGTGACCGAGGACCCGACACCAGGAGGGGGCCCTGCGGCTTGCTCAGTATGCTGCCGGGTGCGTGGCCCCTCTTGGCTGCCCGGCCAGCCATTACAGACACTGGTCTGCAGCTCCGGAGTGATCAGAGCTGCAGACCATGTGTCTCGCGAGAACTGGCCAATCAGAGCGTTGCCTCGGGTTACCACACACAAGGATACTCTCTGTCAGACACACTCTCAGGCACATACACAGGTAAACTGTGCATCAATGTGTATATGTGACAATGTGCATGTATTGCAACTCTATTTTTTTTCACTTTTTTGTTAGTGGGGCCTCATGTTTGAGTTTTGCTTAAGGCCTTATAAAGTCTAAAACCGCCTCAGTAGAGAGGCAGGGATTACACTAATGCTTATATATCCTCTCACTACTATTGGCAGCCTGCATTTGTAAGAAAGATCCTAAACCAATGTACTACCTATTGACGAACACATTTTAATTAAGAAATTAATTAATTTATTTATTTCATGCTTGGCCACTGTTTGTTTTTGATGCCAGTGGATTGAACACTGTATTTAATCCTCTATTTTATCTTAAAAACGGGTTAACTGAAATGCAATACTGTCCTGAAATTGGTATATATTTTTTTAAAGTGGAAGTTGCACTGTCTGTAAATTATAATTTGAGTAAATTTTAAATATTTCAGAATTTTGAGTTCAGGGTCTCTTTCTTAGCAGTAGAGTTTCAATGGTTAATTTGTTTTCAATTTTTTTTATTTTTTACACAAATAGAACTACAAAATTAAAAATAAATTGGAATTAAACAACCATTAAATACACATACTTATGTTTTTATATTTTCATTTAAAAAAACAGGTCTCTTCTTTAATAAAAAATATTTCAAAAGAAAAAAAGATACTAAAAAAACTTAATTAATAAAGAAAGCCAGCATTTTACTACATTGTTAGACATTGCTAGCTACTCATTACTTCTGTCTGGTTTGTTTTGGGGTTATTTTTGTACCAAATATTATTGTTAGCAAAAAATATTAGCTAGTTAGCTTGTGTGCAACTTCTTTATACAGAAATATGTTTCGCATCACAGTCAAAAGTATTACTGTTTCATATAGTTAATATATTTTTAAAAAACAACTTAATTTTAAATAAATAAAGGTATGCACACCTTCATTAATAAGAGAAAGACAGGCAAAAGAAGGATAGTTGTGATTGAAACACCAATTTTTACAATCTTCAGAAAGTCTCATATTATAAAGCACATCATTAAGCTTGCGAACAGTAGACCTTTATCGTTATATAAAATGCATTTCCATATGAATAATCCAGTTAGAAGTGTTTTAGACTGCAAAAACAATCTTTGAAGAAGTAGCATGTAAACATGCCAATGGATGCTACACAAACAGTGAAACTTCGAAGCATAATACTCTCTTAATGTGGAGAATGTTAATAATTGATTAAGGGGAGGGGTGAGGGTCAGGCCTAGGCTATCTGGCATAACAACAAAGCTGTTTCCTGCCATATGTGAATAGGTGAGAACAAGTGAAGTGGCTTGACAAAAATGCCACTATCGAATTGAACTAGTGAAAAGGACATAAAGGACAATCCATCGTTGTTTCAGTTGATGTATCAACAAGCTTTGACTTGCCTAAAGAATATGTCATCACCTTAAAATCTCACTTGAATATCAAGTAAGGAAACACAATTACTAAATTACTCCTTTTATATGTGGGAAAATAAAGTTTATTAGAACTCACTAATCAATTAATAGTATTAAATGAGAAGTTATACTCAAAATGTCACTTAAATAACGTATAAAGGGGTTTGTCAAAACACTTACAATGTGTTTTTTTTATTGTCATTATTTGATAATTCACATTACATTTAGCTTGCGAAAAGATCTATGGAGGTTGGAAATGTCGATATTTTACACTTATGTATGTTTAAAATTATATATTTTTTGAAAAAGGCTTAGGACAGTTTGTTATGGTCAAAAGAGCAGTCTAGGCCACATAATCACATACCAATACAGTGGTTATGGTACCATGAGGCTGCATGTGCCATTCCTTGGTATTGTCAGATTTTATATATATATATATATATATATATACTGAGAGAGGTTAAGTAATAATGGAATTTGCATTATGGGAAAATTATGTCTAGAGACATCATCATGAACCATGCGAATGAAGGTTAAGTAGCTTATAAATGTCTCCAAACAATGTCTCTAAAACGCAAAGACAATTATTTTCTAGTATTCTAGGATATTCTGGGTAGTGTAGAATTTAAGAAGCGGTTTTATTGTAAGGACAGCACTGGTACATAAATGGCATTTTTCTGTCTGCTGTTCATTGAAGTTACAGTCCAAGGTAACACTTGTTTCACATGACAGCAAGCACTACTCAGGAGTGTAATTCCCACTAATTTTGGTCAGACCGGGATGTGTATGTCTTAATTTTGTCCAAAATGATGGCTCTCCAGGCTGCATTGTGTTGATTCATTTATTATTTCCCATTAAGGGAACCTTTAGCTCTTTTAAAAGAGCTTCAAATTTCATCTATACAGTGTGCTAGCAGTTTTGCTTGCAAATGTATAGATTAGGAGAAGAGCCTGTTTAAAAACTGTTTTATCTCCCATCTGTCTCTCAATTCCTCAGCAGACACTCAATGCTGAGAAATTGAGAGACAGGGAGAGCAGAAGATACCTCCCATAGGAAGTCCATCTATTCTCTACCCATACTACCACAGCAGCAAGTGCTGGCTAGGGAGTATTGGAACAGAGTGACGTGATGACCATATACTTTATCTAAATCCCCATTAAATCTCCTTATTTCCACATAGCAAAATACTTTGCTAATTTAAAGTTGGCTGTGGTGAATTTTGCATAACAAATCTCTTGGTCACCAGAAGCAGACTTATAAAGTTTGTATGTTCAGGGGAGTAAAGGAATGTGAGTTCATTTTATAGCAGCAAACATTGGAGCAGACTCCACAAAATATGGTACATTGGCATTGAAGCAGCATAATGCAATGTATGTTCATTAGGTTATTACACGTTGTGATCAAAACAAAACGTAAACAAATCCTGGAATTTGTGCTATATGTCTGTTTAGGCATAATTCACCTCTTTCATATTATGTGCGTCCACACTTATTATATATCATTTTATTCAGGGGAAACAGGGCTTTCATTTAACATCAAATATTTAGCTATGAAACATAATTTAATATGAATAAAATATAAAAAAAATGGGAGAAAATAAGAATTAAAATTTTTGTTTTAGTTCTACTTGACATTTTAACCGTGAATGTCATAATACTGTTTGATTTTACTGCAAAAAAAAATACACATATTTGTATTCAGCGATGTTTCACGTGTAAAACAGTACCCCCTATGGAGGTTTTATGGGGTTTTGAGAGGTTACAGGGTCAAATATAGCATGTTACATTTTTCAGTTTTTTCACATTGAAATTCGCCGGATTGGTTATGTTGCCTTTGAAACCGTATGGTAGCCCAGGAATGAGAATTACCCCCATGATGGCATACCATTTGCAATAGTAAACAACCCAAGGTATTGCAAATCTGGTATGTCCAGTCTTTTTTAGTAGCCACTTGGTCACAAACACTGGCCAAAGTTAGTGTTAATATTTGTTTGTGTGTGAAAAATGCAAAAAACTAATTTTGCGGAGAATAATTATATATATATATATATATAAATAAAAAGAAGAGAGCACTCACTGAATTTTCTTAACGATGTTTAGTGATGAAAAAAAACGATCAACGTTTCTACCCTGGAGGTCTTTATCAAGATCATCCTGATAAAGACCTCCAGGGTCGAAACGTTGATGGTTTTTTTCATCACTAAACAACACTGGTTTCCTAGCAACCACCCTCACTGCAGTCACGACCTCATGCAAAACACACGTCACGTGACAGCCGGTTCTCACTTCCGAGTTCGGAGTGAAGGGAGGAGGGAGCTAATCACTATTGGTGAGTACACTTTATCTTTTCTTATATATATATTCTGATTTTATGTTTACATGTTGTTCCTGAGGATGCTCAGCAACTTGTAAAACTTGGTGGATTAAATACTATTATTTTTCTCGAAAAAAGACCGAAGAGTGCATCTTTATTCTACATATTGCATATATATAATTATATATATATATATATATATATATTAATATTAAAATACACTTAGACTATGTATGTGTATTTATGTGTATGTATGTGTATGTGTATATATATATATATATATATATATATACTTAGATCATATATATAATAAATATTTATATGATCTAAGTATAGATAATTTAATTTTAAACTGTTTTAAACATTTTTTTTTACAGGCACTCCCCCTGCTGGCTATGCTGTCCATGTTGTCGCGAGGTCACCTGGGCTGCCAGCTGAGTCCCCACACCGCGATACCGGGTAAGTACAAAGGACGGCGGGATGTGCTATGCCACCCCCCCACCCCGGAATTTAGAGCTGGGTCCCCAAGGACAGCATAGCATGCCTGCTGTCCTTAAGGGGTTAAATAAGTCAGGTGTTTTTGTAAACGTTATGGGCTTTAAAGTAATTGTAAGCTCGTTTAAGCAGGGTCCTCTTCAACCTATCGTTCCTGTAAGTTTTCTTGTAATTGTCCTATTTATAGTTAAATCCCCCCTCTTATAATATTATAAAGCGCTACAGAATCTGTTGGCGCTATATAAATGTCAATAATTAAGTTAGTTTGAAGAGGAGTTTACTAAAATAGTAATAACATATATAGAACTCCCTTGGGTACTGCACTCAATATGTCCAATTTTATTTATTTATAAAATATTTTAGCAGGAAGGATACATTGAGATCTAAATATGTAAATATGTCCAATATTTCAGCCATGGTGCTGTGCTTTGGTCAACCAATATCTGTCAAGTAGGAGTCCACTTACAGGATTTCATAATGCATAAATACAAATTTTATTATTCAAAATTCACATATAGGTCAGGCCTCACTGACTTTTCTAGACTTTTACATATAAAAGTGTGGCGCATTTGAAATGTAATATATCACATATTAAATATTTGTTTTGTGAAACATTCTTTGAAAATGAATCAAACAGGAATACAGTCACATCAAGTTGAAAGGAAACTTTAGAGGAAATGCTAAAAAGAAACAAGCTAAAATCCACAGGGACAAAAGTTGTTCTTTGACCTTTAGAAAACATTCTAGATTAAGTCCACTTGTGTGTGTCAGAAAGAACATATTTATTAAGTTTGACTCAAATATGTTAGCAACGGTGAAATTACTAGGACATTTCTGGGTATAAAAAAATGCAAAAATGTACAGCATTCAATTTCAGAGTTACATGGCAATTTCTTCCAAATGTCCCTATATTTTTATACTCAATTAAGACCAAATGGAACATTTGTATCGCTGTGCATTATGCAAGTAGAACTAGGGAGTTTGCCAACATTATTAACTCAAATAGAAACTAATGACATTAAGTGGACATACATACGCACAATTCCTTTTGGAAATAGGATACTTGCTTATTTTTAAATGATTTATTTTTACAATACTGGGCCTGTAACCTATTTTATGCTACAATTGTCATATCACATTCTTTAATTTTATTTCCCATTTCACACTTTGTCTTTATTTACAACCTTGTTATAACAAGTAGAATTAGGCACGAAAAAAAAAAGAATTTCGGTCACATGACAGTTTAACTCATCAGAAATGTAAAAAGATTCAGGAAAACTACTGAGATGCACTAAAAGGAACCAGTCAATGTACTGCAAAATATATACATAATATAAAGATAATGTATATATTTTTCAATACACACTAACAAGCACATTTTCCCACCATTTGGTTCACAGATCAAGTGAGAAAAAGATGAGGATCAGTAAAAAAATCCAATATGAGTATACGGAAACAGTTGAAGATTGTGTATCTCAAATACTCCTAAAAAGCTGTGCCGAATATTTTCACTATCACTATCCTATACAAAGCCAAATATAAGGCAATAAAACAACAATTATCATTTTCAAATTCAGTGCACTGCATTATATCTAGTGTTGTTTTTGTATGCTGACCAACCAGATGAAATTTGAAATATGAGTGTGTTTTGTACTTTTAAGAGTATATATTGCACTTTATTGCTTTTCATGTTTACATTTAGAGCTTGAATATTTTATTCATCCCTGTGTGTACCTGATCACATCATAAAAACATATGAGATCTTCACATTAAAGGGCTAGAAATGTCTTACACCACATTTTAATAATAAATACCACTTTGACAAAGTTCAAAGATGAATTAAAAAAGTAGGCTAGCCTACTGTTAAAAAAGTGTTGTATTTTAAAGAAAACAAGTCGTAAGAGCTGCTGGGTGAGATAAGAATATCAAATGCTAACTAACCATTTTCAAACTAACGTTGTGTTTTTGTTGCCACATTCATTCCTTTTCCATTATTGTTTTTGTTTCAGCCTGTTCCTGCAAGCAGTGGTATCATTTCCTCTGCTCCTTTCTTTGCAGGTAAGTACTGTGTGTGTTTTATTGTTGTTTATTTAGTCATGCATATCTAGGCAGTTAGTAATTGGGGTACTTTGGCGCAGTGGTGGGCTGCATACATCTTGGCCATTTATGTATGTCTAAATCTCCAATGTTTTACATATATAGTACTTAGTTATGTCTCCTCTTGTTTTTCCTTGTATCTCTTGTCTTGTTTTATTTTGTCTTGTATTCCCAGTTCGTGTACAGTCCTGTCCTGCCCATGTTCTCTTAATGTTTCCCTTATGTATTGTGTATATGTTCTGGGTTCTGCTTTCTATCCTTCTCTGGTTCTGGGTTCTTCTAGTCTTGTCTTGTTTTCTTGTTACCAGGGCATGGGGTGGAATGCAAGTCTTACCTTGTTTCTAGTACTGGATACATCTCAGCTTATCATCTAGCTCCTGGCATCTGCTTAAGCTGCATCAGGGTTCTTGTAAGTGGCCACACAAATGCCGGTGCTCAACACCAGGGGGTGTGTGGTTACCCTGCACCAGGCACTGATAGTCCACTTCCACACTGAGACTCCTATCATCTACATCAGGCACACAGGGGTCCCGGTCCTCAGACCACCACCCGTGACACCCACCCACTTATCCTTTTGTGCGTATCTCCTGACCCTTCTTGTATGTTTCTTCAAATCCCCTTTCAACCTTGTGTGTCTCTTAAACATTTTAATTTTCTTATGTGTCTCATAACCCACTGTACTTCTTCTGTATTTCCTAACCTGCTCTTACCTCTTGTCTGTTTCTTAACCTTTGAACCCTTTTTTTTGTTCCCCACATATATACATAGTGGCATGCATACATAGATATGAACTTACATCACAGGTACACAGTCACAATCATAGTCAATGTTACAAGGACACACAGTTACAGTCACACACACGCATACAGTTATTAGCATACACAGTTATAGTCACAGTTTCAGCCACACACAGTTACAGGCACACAGTCACAGGCACACACACACACACACACACACACACACACACACACAAACACAGTTACAGGCACAAACAAAGATACACACAGTCAAAGACAAACACACCTACAGGCACACACACAGTAACAGGTACACACACAGTCACAGTCACACACCCACACACAGTTACAGGAACACACACAGTACCAGCCACAAACCCATTCACAGTTACAGGAACACACATACAGATCATAATACAACCACACACAGTTACAGTCACACCCCCCCATATTGTTACAGGCACATACACAGTTCCAGGTGTCCCTGGATTCTGTTCCGGATTCCTTTCCGCTGGTGGCTACAGCTATGGCAAGGCCTGTGGTGGTTGTGACTCCGCTGCTTCAGTTGACTCCTGCGTCGTCTGGAAAATCTGGTTCTGTGGTTGGGAACAGTCACGTGGGGACTGGGGGTGGTTCTGGTGTTGAGCTGCAGCCTGACAGGGGATCTCTGGTTAGTTGTATGCTGGGATTTATTGAGAAGTGGGAGCATAGCTTGGGACTAGGGTCTCCGCGCCCCTGCCTCTAGATGCACATGTTTGCATGGGGTGGAACACAGTCCCAGTTTCTAATGCTGGGGGGAGCGGTGTTTCGGTCTCAGAAGGGATGTCCGTTACCCCAGCTCCAGTGGTGTTCCCGTCCCCCGCCACCACGTTGGGTTAGGGGAGGGCCACCTGCCACTTTGTATGGTTTAGAGGTGGCCCAGGCTGCCCATGGTGCGGCATACATATGTTAGTTGAGCCCCCTCGGATTGCAATTGTGCCAGGAGGTCTGGGAGAAGATTTGGAAGGGAGTTTGTGGAAATTTTCTCCCTTCTTCCTTTGGAGGATTTGCCTCCGCCTGATAAGGAGTCGAAGGACTCTGACAAGGATAAGAAGAAGTTCCAATTTTGGAAGATTCCCAAGACATTTGGGAATTGACTCTAGGTGTTTTCTACACTGGCTAGCGTTATTGGGGAGAAGGCCCCAGAGAAGTGTTGTTTTGTTACCAGGGCATGAGGTGGAATGCATGTCGAGTTTATGGGGGGTTGAGTTGGTGGCGTTACGATGAAAAGTTTTGCCAGAGGCTTGCGGTCCACCCGTCCACTGACGTCCCCCTCCACTTTGGCCGTGCCTCAGCGCATGGGCTGCTGCTGGCAATTCAACGAAAGTCACTGCACGTGGGGGGGCAGGTTGCAAGTTTAAGCATGAATGTTCTGTGTGTAAGGCAGGATAGCGTGATGAAGTCATGGTCGCAAAGGTCTAGGACGCCAGTAGACGTTGGCACGATGCGCAGTGGCTAAACCATTATAGGAATTACAAAGCAGCTGAGGTGCTCCTCAGAGATTTCAGCGAAGGGTTTTGAATTCCCCATCGGAACAGGAAGACCTCCGGGGTCTGTTAGAACCTCAAGCTGTGCAGGGTCTCAAATGCGTCCTATAATGCGACTGTTCGGATGGTCTGAGCTGCGGGTTGGGGGGCACTTATTGCTAAGGTGGATGTTGAATCAGCTTTTTGGCTGCTCCCAGTACATCCGGGCTGTCATCACCTGCTTGGCTGTTTCTTCTGGGATGAATACTACATGGATTCATGCCTCCTACGTGGAGCTTCTGCAAGGCTTGTTACAACTGTTGTGGTTTTGGGAAGCGTCTGGCTGCTCCCCTTCGACTGTTTCGGGTATGTTATTTGGGCTAAGCTTTTGGTTCATGCTCACCAGGACTCCGGATCTTAAAGAAGATGTTTTAATATTGTTGGTGATGAGGGGTTGGCTTAGGAGGCCCAAGGTTTCAGATTAATGGAGGCCAGTCTCTGGTGCTCTGATTTTTGGATCTGTTTTGTGTTCTCGTTAACCCAAACAAGGAGGTCCCTGGGGGGAGTATTGTTTGGAGACATGTTCATTGAGGAAGGGTTTGTACGTTTCTTGCTGTGTAAGTCCAAGACGGATGTTCTTGGCCGTGGTACCTAGGTCTCCTTAGAGCAGATCCCTGGTTTGGTGGTTTGTCCGGTCGCATGTTTTCAGGCATTCTGCAGGGTCTGCCCCATTTCCGCTGGCCTGTTGCTGGTTCACAGTGATTCCAATTTTCTGTTCCTTTTTCAGTTTATCTGGGTCTTCCGCATGGCGATGGAAGTCCTGGGGATACCTAGTTCTGAGTTTGGAGGGCACTCCTTCAGGATTGGGGCTGCCACTGAGGCGTCATGTCTGGGGTTTTCGGAGAAGGCTATATGGCGGATTGGGAGGTGGGAATCTAGGAGGTTCTTCCAGCCGGACTGATTACGTTTCCCGTTTTGTCTCCATAGGTGCCGGAAGGCGAGTGTGAGTGATCGGCCATTCTTATGTGTATTGGGAACAGCAGCATGCAGAAGTTCATCCTCAGGGACTACGACTGGGCTGATCCCTCCCCTAACTTCAGGTACATGTATGGATAACATCCGTGCCCACTGAGCCAGTGATCGGCTAGTGGTTAGTATTATGAGAATGGAAGTCCCAAGAAAGGCCTCTGTACTTGTCGGGACGAAGGGGAAGGGCAGTTGCACAAGTGATTGTATTTGGTTGGCAAGGTGACATTATTTATTTACTGAGTTATATGTTATATTAATTTGTTATAAAGTTTATGTTGAAGATAGATATACATATATATACATATATATATATATAATATTTAACAAAGCTGTGGCCTATTTGCACCATGTAAGTCCGTGGTTTGGTTATTTTGGGTAAATAAGGGAAAGGGTTTCTAGTTATGGCCCATACACAATACCTACGAACATGTCTCTAGTGGTTGGATACCTATGATGTGCCTCTTTAAAATGTGCTGATCCGTTGTGACCTTCATCGCCTCTTTTAAAAGTATAGATATGTTTTTGAAAGAGCTTTTTCAATATTCGTTGCGTCCATTCAATACACTAAAATAAGCACGTGCAATATAATAAATAAATAACCCCTTTATTGTTACATGTAATGACCTCCTGAATTTTAAAATCTTCTCCAGTTTGTTGGGACTTAAATTGTGTGTATTTCCTATCCATATTGATGCATGTGCGACATTCTTTACAGGCTTTGCATTTATAAGACCCATTCTCTAAAATAAAAAGTTATTCTATGTCTCAGGTAATAGACTTGGGGCTAATATGGGTTTTTCAGATAAATTTTTTAAAAACCACTTCATCTTGTCTTAAAACTGACCACCATTTCTTAATGAGCCATTTAATCTCCTGGGCTTGTATCATTTTTAGCCACAGTATGTGGTTGCATATGTTACTACTGGAATTGGTCAGAAATCATTATATCTAAATAAATATTAGCACCGTGCATTTAAAATTAAGTATGGCACTGTGGTTTAAATGTAGACTCAGACTAAACCAATGCAACTTCTGTATTTTAATTAAATATATAAAAATGATTTTGTTGAAGGATTCAAAACAGTGGGCAAATTATGTTGATGCTGTTGGTCCTGTTATTATAAAAACTATATTTAACTATAAAATAACCTATGCTAGAATGAAAATAATGAAATGTGAACTCTTTCCTCATTTGGCATCTTAAGCATTCCATATATTGTGCATAATATTCATAGTATTAGTAAGTATATCATTTACACTGAAAAACCTTTGAGAATAAATGTATCACTGACACTCATAATGAACTGCATTCCAGTTGAGTGACACGTATGCATGTGAATTACTTATCTTGACAGATACCAAAAATAAAGTCAACACTTTGTAGTCAACAGTAATACACATGCAAAATATATAATATGCATATTGCGAAGTGGCACTGAGAATATCCAGCACTTTTTCAAAGATAGTAATATTAACCTGGTCATGGTAAAAAATTATTATTTTTATTATTATTATTGGCATTTATATAGCGCCAACTTTTTCTGCAATGGATTATAATATTAAAAAGGGGGAAATTTAACAATAAATGAGACAATTACAAAATGTTACAGGAACAATAGATTGATGAGAACCCTGCTCGAAAGAGCTTCCAATCTAGAAAATGAGGTAAAGATGAAGGTAATTCTTTCACTGCTAGAAGAAAAGGCAGCATTATGAATAATAATACAAAAAGTACACATGGCTAATGCAAGCCTATATTTATAGTATATTCTATACATGATATAATATAATATAATATATCATGACATTAATAGTTAGTAATAACCCCTTGAAAATCTGAAGTTAGACAGGGAATGGTACTATAATACATTGCTCCTTTATAACCCTGAAGAGGTTAAATACATACTGACAATGGAATTTGTACAAAACCCCTGCGTGGTGGATGTTTTATTTTTATAGGTAAAAAATTGTATTTTGACAGCAAATAAAGAACATGTTAAGAGTGAGTGACGGTAGAAAAAGAAAGAAAACATATGTTGCAGAAGGTTTGGGATGAGAAATAAGTCATATTGAACAATATATTTTATATGTTAACACATATGTTGGTTAAGACAGAAACATTTTATGCTTGTGGTCTCCTGCAGGGCATGACTAACATATTACAACTGCAAAGTCAGTAGGTATAAAATGTAGTAAATAAAATGTCAGTTTTCGTTCACCAACACTTTCCAATAAATATTAGTGTTTTACATGTGTTTTCCTGTGATAAGTTAGACTTACAACTGTTCATCTAGACATATGTTTTAAATGTTGGTGCAAAAGTCTTAATTGTGGGCTGAAAAGAAAAAAACTGCACTAAATGCATTGCTATATCATTGTAGTACTCTAGGCGCAGTGCGCCTGTCAGTTTAACCGTGCAATTGTAATTATTGCAGTTATTGAGAAACAGCAATAATTTACTTGGAGGGTTATCTACACCTTTAGTGGCTGTCTACCAGATTGCAACTATAGGCACTTCCTGGTGGTGTAACTGACATTGGACATTCTCATGCTTTGCAAGAGGGCATTGATTCAGTGTTTTCCGATGGGGTAGTCCTAATGCGAGTGCAGCGCTCACCGCACATGGACATTAGGTCCCACATTACTAGATTGCAGCTACCCAACAACCTGTCCCTGAAGCTGAGAGATGGCGCTCAATCAGGTAACTGACAAAAGGGTTTCAAATTCTCTTTTAGAACCACATTAAGAGGGGAGCGACAAGGTGTGTGTGTGTGGGAGGGGGTGGAGGTAATCTTTGGTACTATAGTACTAGGAATATAACTTTGTATTCCTAGCACTATAGATTCCCTTTAACTTTCCTTTGCCAGCAACTGTCTGAGCAGTGCCTGTGTGAGGTATATCACATACAGCTCCCATCCAATAAAATGTGATTTGTAAATGTATGGATTTATATTTATTAGTATGTAGATATTGCTTTACTATTTTATTTGCCGTGGTGTTTTTTATGGTTCTCCTTTAAAAAGGGAAACTTGTTTGTTAGGCAGTCAGTTTATATCTGGCTGACTAGATCATATGTTTTGGTTTAATGTAATCTGGTTAAATAAGGTATTTATTTATAAAAATTTATAAATATCACCACTGCCTTATGGCAACTGTTATTTGGTGTCTATTGTAATGTATTAAACATGTATTATAGCATGCGCTGCATATGTAAAGCTAGGAAAATGATGTAAAGTATAGCATACCTATTAAGATAATCACCGTTATCTTTTTATTAAATGCAATTGGGGAACATTTGATTGCTATTGATAAATGAAATTTCCCATTTTAGTCAAAAAATGATATTGAAAGCAATATTGTTAATTCATCTTACCATCATAGTTACCTTGACAAAAAAGAGATAGGGCTGCATTATACTGCTAAATCGCCCCTTTTGTATAGCTTTGACATTGCAACCCTTGGCGAGAAATTTTCCATATTCTCACAATTCATTCATGCACAGATGCTGTTATACATTGGGCAATCAAGCAAAATAAATTTAATTGCCATTCAGTCAGGAACCCAACCACGAGCTTTTAATTTCTAAACAAAATGTTTAATATTAAATAATATGCACAGCTAACTGGTCTATGTACTGTTAAAGGAACTCTCCCAGCAATGGGCTGCATTGATTAAGGTGCCAGGAAAGATTTGGCACACTCCAAGAGTAAATTGTCAAACTATGTTATAATGGTTTGACAACCTACCTGGTTACTCATGGGCACCTGTGCTTCCAGTCCTTTTTCTGGATTCTCCTTACAGAAGAATACAGTTAGCTTTATCCAGCTAAGCATGGCAGTGCAGAGTTGCAGTCATTGGATGGAAGCATCAGTTGAGCACTCTAAGACAATGAGTATGGTCCTGTATCAGACCTACTAAGCTTAGTGAAGACCAAGCAGGAGAAGACCGGATAAAGTGTGGACACAGGGCAGTTGCCAAACCATTCTAAAATGGCTGTAGTGGTTATGGTGCTAGGAGAGTTCCCTTTATACACAAATATAATGTAATTCATATTTATCATTTTGGCAAAGTTCAACAGCGCAATAAACATAATATAACATTTGGTAGGAACTAAGGTAAGATGTGTTTGTGTAGGTGTTTGTATTACTACGTTGATACTCCCTGATACAGTGTGTTTTATCCTTCTCTCTCTAACTACTTGTTAAACAGCATATTGCGAGACCCGTGGCAGCGGGAAGAACAGTATAGGAATTGTTATTTTGAAAGAGCAAATAAACTAAAGACCCAGGAGATGTTGCAGATGGCTTTGGATCTCAAAATGACACAAAAGAAGAGCATTCCCACAGGAGATGTTGTCAGGTATGTCCTTATATTAGAATATAGCTCTGTTAGTTATGTCAAATATATATTGAAGGAAGCGTAACAATACAATATGACTGTTAATGTTATATTTACTATAACATACAAGTATGTCAAGCTTGGCATTCTGGGTTTTGAATAATCATCTCCGACATTCCATAATATACTGTGTTTTGCGTAAAATAAGACTTGAGGGTTTATTCACTAAATTGTGAATTGTGGTGAATTGAAGACCAATTTGTTAAAAAAAAAGATTAAAAGTTATGACTACAACTTAGTTGGGGAATTTGTCCAAAATAACTATTTTGACACCTGCTTTGAAACTAGATTTTTACTGTCTCTACCATTTACTATTTAAGTAATGCAGAGCCAAACAAGATCAAATGCTCCTAAACAGTGATTTGTATTTTCCAGAATTTCTGCATCTAATACTAAATAAAATGAGCAATTTCCAAATTATGTTGGTTGCAGAAAGTCTTAAAATGTATAGAAATGGTAGACTGAAGTGAAATATAATAACATTGAACATTTCATTTAGTTGAATTGGTTATACATAACTAAGATACATAACTTGTTATTGTTCTAATGCTTAACTTATACTTCTTTTTTCCAATTTAAAGCCTCAATTTAATATTATTGGATATGTTTTTAAAAATTTTCAATATTTTTGATTAAACTTTTAAAATATTTTGTTTTCAAAATATTATCATATATAAAAAATGTATCATATAATTAATAAAATATTACGACATTAAAATATTTTTCACAATATCAAATCATTTTAAAAGTTTATCCAAAAATATAAAATCATTGATACCTTAATGTGATGATCAACCTACATGAAACATGTGACTGTTACTGAGGATAACATTGCAGTGTATGTAGATTACCCAACTGGTATTAACACAGCTAGTCACTGCTGTAGCAATAAAAAACACTACAAAAATATATATATTCATAGTTTTCACATATGTTTATCTTAAAGGAACACTATAGTATTAGGAATGCAAACATATTGCAAATGCTATAGTGCCCTAGTCACCTTTTGGTTTACCCCTCCTCCCCATAAAGGTGAGATTTGTTTTTACGTTCTCTTCCTTGCCTCTCTGCTCTTTACACTGGTCTTCTCCTCCCTTCAAGATTATTTACTTCAGCCAATCCAATGTTTTCCCACATGGAAATATTGTGAGGCTTGTGTGCACATGTGGCAAAACAGCACTGCGACAATGTGCATCTTCTCAGAGATGCACTGATTCAATGCATCTAGTGGCGGAGCTAAAACAGAGAGGGCCTGGTGCAAAAATTATTGTGCCCCCCCCCATCGCAAGGATAGATTCCCATCTCTCATACCACTCCCACAATGCTTTGCCAGCTGGGGATCTACCATTTGTCCATCCTTGTAGTGTTGTATTTAGCAGTGAGCAGTGTTTGTATGTGTGATTGTTTGAAAGTAAACATGTTTTCATATGGAGTATGTATGTGTATTGGTGTATTTGTGTGTAGTGTTGTATGTTTTTATGTACTGTTGCCATTTGAAAGTAGTAGTTTACTTGTGTGTGTAGTGGTTTTGAATGCTGGGATGTGTATTGTGTAGTGTTGATGCTTGAATGCAGGGGTGTATTTATGTGTAGTGTTGGAGTTTGAATGTTGAGATGTATACACATATGCATATTAACTGCCACACACACACACTGATACACATACACTGTAGCGGAGTAGTAGTATTATCTACGGTATCTGCGCTGGTAGACAGAATGAAGCAGGTACAAAGTAGGCAAAAATCCAGGTAGCCTAGTTACAATCCTTTTCTCCCAAGAACTAGACGACACATAGCTTGGAGGTCAAATGAGGTTTTAATCACAGGTCACAGTATTTATGCGGTTACAAATGTAAAGGGTTTCCCAAGTCACATTACAGGGGTTGTCCAGTAGTGGACTACATGGGGGACTGAGCTTACAGTCTGATTACCCAGCATACACTGCTGTACCAGAGAAATAATTACGTTATTAACAGGCACAGGAAAAAGTAACATTTTAAATTCGCAATTCACCACATATTTTCCCAAATGAACCCTCATTAAATTGCAGGGATCGATCGGTACAATCTATCGAAGTACCACTCTGATCCCTGCAGAAACAACCAAACGCGGCTCGCAATAGACATTTACCCGAACGGGGTTTTAGCAGAGAAAACTTACGAATGGTTTTATTTTCCTGAAGGAGAGAGTTTCCCGACCGCTATGGAAGTCCAGCAGTGTTTGGAAATCAAGTAGCCGATTTCGGTTCCAGGCACTCGACGACCAAACAATGCTGAACTCTAACAAAGCAAAGATGGCCGCCACCACGTGTTCGGTACACGTACAGTGGCCACACACAGAACGCTCATTAACAGATGGATACAATGTTTCGGTTTTACTAACGAGCGGCACACGACCTTCTGGGGAGGTCAATTCGGTCTTTTGGTTCGTTTCACGCACAGGGTTGGAATCCACTGTTCGTGAAACTTGCAACAGCATGTTAGCGGTATTCGTGTGCTGTAACACACGAATGCATAGGAACATTAGGTGAAAAGCTTTGCATATGGATACATTTAACAGGGGTTAAGTTGCTCATGAATAGAGACACAATGGAAGCAAACATCAGGCATACATGTACATAATACTCTGTAAGTGGCTAGTTTTGCCACATACACACACATTTACAGACACACATCTGGATACACAGACACACAGATGCACACTGACACATTGAGTGCATCTCTATGGGGAGCAGTTAGCTGAACACAGGCCCTGCAAAGATTACAGGACTGAAATATGGAAGGGCCTTTAGTGGTCGTCTCAGTGACAGCACCTAGAGGTGTTACTAGGGAACAATGTAAACACTGCCTTTTTCTCTGAAAAGGCAGTGTTTATATTGAAAAGATTGAAGGGGCAGGCTATAGACATGCAAAATACATTACAAAAATGTAGTGGATGTTAAGCTGGTATTATTCTGGTGACTATAGTGTACACAATTACAAATACAATTGCAAATCACTATTTATTTTTAATGTAAACATTTATGAAGTTTTAGCAAGACAGTTTTATTAATCCATATAAAATAGCTTAGTTGTTTTAAAAATCGTTCAACTATCTCATAGTGCTAAACCAATTCTGCAGCCCCCCTCAGCGGTAGCATCTATAATAGGTTTTAACATCAACAATTCCATAAAGGCTCTACACAACTTTACATATGAAATGAGCAATTCAACATTTGCTAGTGGAAGCTTGCCAGGATGAACGTATTAGGGTCCACTGGAGTCTTGCCAAGAAAGGTTGAAAAATTATTTTGTATGAAGATTAGAAAACCAATTTGCCCATCACTTGGCTATACTATTACTATTTAACTTTATGATTCCTGTGAATCTTGTAAAGAACGTAATGCTCTGTTTCACCTTGGTCCCAGGTGGAGAAACACCATGTTCTGAGTTTATTAACATATGTTATTTTGTGTCATCAGCATAAATTGAGATATAGCTTAAAATGTCCTCTTCAATGTCATTCATAAATAAATTATAAAGGAGCAACGTAGGACTAGATTGTGGTGTAATCCACTTACGTCTTTGGTCCAATTGGCAAATGCACCAGTTATAAAAACTCACTATATTCCATATTTAGCTTGTATCCTTTCCATTAACTTATCATTTCAATACAAAGTAAGGACCAACATTTGGCTATGGAAGTACAGTTACAAATAATGACTTTCACTTAACCGATCAAAATTTGCAGAAGGGTCATTAGGATTTCTAATGTTTTGTTTTGCCTGGTGTTAAATGAGAGATCATATTATCTAAATGCATTACTGTTTTTATTTTAATTTTAAAATGTTCTAAGAGGGCTGCGGTCATGAAGGCACATCTCATAATTCATTAAAAGACCTGTCCATAGGGGAGATTGAGTAAAGCCCCTATTTTTATGCCACAATAATATTAAACCAAAGTCACATGCAAGAGGAACAGAAGCTTGGAGGCAGAAGTGCTGGGTACCAAAGTCCTAACTTTGGGGTTAAACCATTGAAAAACAGTTTAACTCCTTGAGATAAAAATGTGTACGAACACTCCATCCCCCATAATAACTTTAATGTGCTTAAGTTGCAATGGGGATGAGAGTCTTCAATTAATAAGACATCATGGTGGAATATAATTAAAGGGTGATGGTGGATTACTGATCATATTTTCTAGTCTAGTTGACACAAGAATCATTCATCAGAGTAGACATAAAGTACATGAATGAGTAGCCTATGTTCAACTTGGTCTGGATGCAGTCCAAAGCAGCAATGCTAGATGTGTCAAAACAGCAGATTTAACATGTCATGTCAAGAAAGAAGACAAATAGAGTCCCAGTTGCTCCAAAGATCAGAAATTATGCCAATTTTTTCAAGCTTATTTACTAAAGTGAGAAATCAAAGAGAATTCTAAGTTAATTTCAAATTAAAGGCCATAGTAGCTGAAGTGAAATGTTTCTTGTTAGACTATTTTGACCTTAAATTTAAAATTCACTTTGAATTTGCCTTTAATGAATAACCCTGTTTGTGTTAGGTAAGAAAAGGGAGGCCAATAAAACACTATATTGGGTAGTACATTTAATATGAACATTAGGACACTAAATAATTAAAGGTGATTATACATTGCAAGCTGAAATTGTGGGCTTTCATATCATTTTAATTTCCTGATTCAAATTGGCTTTAGGTGAACCATGAGTTTGAACACGCAGCCCCAAACATATTTGATCTATTGATGTTTAAGCTGTTCTTTGCTTGGCTACAGCTTGGTTTTCAACTGTTAATTGAGACGAGGGTTAATAAGACCTTTTACTAACACTTTAAAAAGTTTATTGTAGCAGCATGTACAGCTTTGTGTGTCCAGGAGATATTAAGAGAATGCAGTGTACTATTACAGGTGGAATGCTATTATACCCTGCCATTAAACCTAATTAACTTTGGTCAACCTGTGTAATTAAATCCCCATGCTCCTATTATGGTTGTATTCTTTGCTCAAATTTTAATTAGTGTAATTAAGCGCTAGCTTTTTTTGTGATGGATCTCTATTACCTTTAACCCCTTAAGGACACATGGCAGAAATATTCCGTCATGATTCCCTATTATTCCAGAAGTTGTGTCCTTAAGGGGTTAAACACTAGCTTTTTTGTGATGGATCTCTATTGCCTTACATTTTGGAGGTTTAAAAAGATAAACAAATGATTGAAACTTTCACTTCTGAGTTGTTACAATGATTGCCACGAGTGAGATAATAGGAATGGAAATATGTCATCATTTGCTCAGTTGTGCTAAAGTTCAGCTTAGAAGAACAAGAAGCCTTTTGGATGATAGCATACTTCTACTGATTTCAAAATGAAAAGAAGTTTGAAATCAGTAGAAGTATTTTCTTTTAATAGTGTGAAGAGTCAGAGGAAATATTCTAGACCAGGGGTCCTCAAACTCCGGCCCCCCCAGATGTTGTTGAACTACAACTCCCATGATTCTCTGGCTATCTATGTAATTCAAAGAATCATGGGAGTTGTAGTACAGCAACATCTGGGGGGCCGGAGTTTGAGAACCCCTGTTCTAGACTAAATTATTCCTTCAGGATCCAACCCCTAATATTTTTTTGAGTGAGTACCCATGATTTAGTTCTGACTTGATTTAGTTCTGACTCCACTGCATTGAATTTCTATCAAGACTGAGGTCCTTCCCTGAGCACCTCCGATCTCAGATAGTATACCATCAATCTCATCCATGTGGTGTGTATGAGTAAATGCAAATGTATGGAGTAAAGGTATTTTTGAAATGAATCTAACTAAGTCTTAGTCATATCCTAGCTGGTTTTGATCCAGTCAAAACAATATCCAAATGGAATTTGAGCCGGATGAAGGAAAAAATATATAATATATCGTTGGGCTAATTAGTTATGAATATTGTAAATTCATCCATTTTCTTCCCTGAGCCCTTTGTTATTTGAAGAAGCATGCGAATGTCCATATTAGAGTGTGCAGGGGGATGGCATTTTTAAAGTTTCTAAAGTATTTGTTATGTTTCAACATAGTCATGTTTAAAATGTTATGAGGCAAAAACATGATTCATTGTTAAACTAATTTGCATATGCATGCCCAGAATCCTTAGCGGTAGTAACATCACTGCAGATTTGACTGGTGTGCAGTTTTTTGTTTAACATTGTATTAACTATCCACAGACTTCAGGTGGAAGGGGTTTTCAATCACAATTCTTTCCCCACCATAACCTTTTTGGTTTTTGCTTGCCAACATAGTTAACTGTAGATATAAAAAGCAGCAGAATTACAGGAAGATGCTCATACGTTGAAAAAATAATTGTTTACAGATAGAGTGCAGAGTAAAAATGGAAATCTTAAGTTGGACTAAAATGGTATATATAAGGATCTGTCTTTTTATTGATGTGCAGGGAGAATTAAAAATAATATATCACCTGGGCTGCAATCAGGGCATTAAAGTCCTTACTCTGATGATGAGCATAGTTGAACATTGGGGCCTTTTAATTTTGTGTGGCTGGTTAAAGAAACATTACAAGTTGGGAATATAAATGTGTATTTCTAACACTATAATGCCTATGCCACCATGTAGGTGACCAGGCCAGAGCTGCCATGGTTAGAAAGGTGAGTTTACTTACCCTTTTTTTCCTCACTGCGCCAGTGGCTACCGGCTAGTGAGCATGCATGGCAAAATGTCATGCAGCACCAATCTCATGGCATCTCTGAGACCATCTGATTGAAATAGCAGAGTTTTACTTTGCTGTTTTACAAAAACAACTCCAGTGGCTGTAATATTGACAGCCACTGATGGCAGGATAACCGTGCAAAGACAAAATTGCTGTTCCTACAGAATGGCAATGTTTTCAGCTGCAGGATAAAAATGAGGGGATCACTACATTGAGATATATAATAATTATTTATTTAAAGAGAAAAACAAGCTACCTGTATTAGACAGCTCCCAGTGAACCCTAGGGAAATCATTTTCCTGCAAATAGAAACGAGAGGGAGGCTAAAAATATAAAGGTATTTCTGTGTGTGGCAACATTAAAATCACAGATGAAGTGAATAACATTTATTATATTGTTACAATGGCACCTGTCAAGGGGTGGATTACATTAGGCAACAAGTAAACAGTCAGTTCTTGAAAGAAAAATGGGCAAGCAAAAAGATCTGGGTAACTATGACAAGGGCCAAATACTGAAGACTAGATGACTGGGTTGTTGCACCTCCAAAACAGCAAATCATGTGTGGTGGTCCCTACCAAAAGTGATGAAGGAACATCAGGATCATGGGCACTCAAGGCTTATTGATGCACGTGGGAAGCAAAGGCTAGCCCATCCAGTCTGATCACACAGAAAAGCTACTGTAGCTCAAATTGCTAAAAACTTAATGCTGGCCATAATAGAAAGGTGTCAGAACACACAGTACATTCTAGTTTGCTGTATATGGGTTGGTCAGAGTACTCATGATAACACATGTCCACCATTGAAAGTGCCTTCAATGGGGACGTGAGCATCAGAGCTGGACCATGGAGCAATAGAAGAAGGCTGTGGAACACGATAGAGGAGTTTCTTTCCCTCTATTCTGTCTGACAGGAAGTAGTTTGGTTATCCATGCGTGCTTTCCTTGCCAGACCGGGGTAGAGCCAAACAAGCTACTCTGCCACGGTCCACAGCTCGCCACTCTACATGTGGTGACCATCAGAAAGGGAGCCCTGTGCAGTACACTCCCCTCCTGCCAATCACCTGGGCCAATTCCCTCTAGGCTGGAGTCTTATAAAGTCCAGCAGGTATCATTTTAACAGTCTTAGTTTCACTTACACTGAAACTAGGACTGTTAGTTAATTTAAATAGTGTAGTGTATTGCTTTGCACTCCAATGCAGCACTGAAAAAGTTAATTTGACTAGTGCTACTTATTCATGCACCCTATTTAGATTTACATTTTTACTCCTGTAAAATCATTTAGTAAGAAATGAATGAGATTGTTTTCCATATTGTATATTGACTGATGGATAGTAACTCCTTAATTTGAACTAAGGGATGCATATCTAGCATGAACACATCATAATACATTCCTTTTTGTGTATATATTGCATTGCAGACAAATGTAAAAATCTAAATGATGTAAATTTACTACATTTGTCATTTTGACTTATTCATCCAGCCTTTATAAAACATATCAAAAAATGAACTGCTTTAGATAGTACACAGTGCCCATTATCTTGCAATATTTTACACATGGTCTAAAATATTAGTATAAAAGCAAAAATGATATTTTTTCAAATACAGTAGATGTAGCAAAAATAGATAAATAAATATGGTAAAATCTTTGCTTATACATATTTGTAAAGACTCTAAAGGCATTACTAGGAGTAGATCTTACTCCTAATAAAATGGTAACATCTGCATGTATGCTTAATACCCATGTACAGTAAATACAGTTAAATCATGCATTTCTAAAACAAAAAAATTATTTAAACGGGTGAGTAGGATATTACGGACTGTACTAAATTCTGCAAAATTCATGAAAATTAAATATGTTTTTTTATACTTGATTTAGGTAGCGAAGATGGACATTGGTTCAGTGAGTTTGCAAATAGTAGAAAACTCAGTACCAGCTGTTTCAATATTATGCATACTTTTTGACAATGTATTGTGTGTATACATTTTAATATAAATTACCAAAAAGATATTACAAAAGGTGGAAAACTGACCCACCTTGGTAAAAGCAGATCCCTGTTGCTTTCTGTAATAATTTGCATCTAGCAGTAGTATAGCAGCTGTCTAAATGTGCACGGTCACTTCTAGCACAATGTAAGCTAAACTTGTTAGAAACCTCTAGGTCAGATTTCAAATAACTTCACATTCCTCCTTTAACCAAAAGCAAGCCACAAGACTCCGCACACTTTAAAGATGAATGTTCATCCCTTCTCACATTGGAGACTTCAAAGGGCCAATTACTAGTGAACTGACATGGGTTGTTTTGTGATACTTCCTGTTCAAGAAATGGCTTCTGTGTCCTCTTCAGTGCTTGTGATCATATCATTAGAAGGAAAGAAAATTTTGGCAAACAAAAATATGATCCATGGTTTTCCTCTCACCTCCTTTTTATGTACTTGTTAAAAGCAATTAGTGTTTTAGAAATGTTTAGTTTTTACCCGATGGCTACATAAATCTTGCATTATTAGATTATATCTTATTACATTTTGAAAGAATTGAAACCACCTGTTTCTTTTAAGCAAATTAAAGTTGGTCAAAAGGAAGACATTACTTTTGACACTACAAACGCATGCTCGTACCTGAACTTTGTAACTCAATATATTATTTGGATGAGTGCAAATACATTTTGTGATGGTTATTTTCCCTGCTTGAACTTGGTCTCATTCTAAGAACGCAAGGAGAATATTAAACAGAGGTACATAGTCACATTCAGTTACACATTTAAGGAAGACAGACAGACTGAAATGTATTTGATTCAACGTTCTCAATTAAGCATGTTTGAACTGTAACAGCAAAAATGTTGCTCTTCCAAAGAAATAATTTAAAACTGATGTTAAACATGAACTTTCAAGGCCACAAAGCACCCTGTGATACACATGTTTTAGATGGTAATACTTGCAAAAGATTTACTATTAATGTACTGTATACTATATCAGCGTGGCACAGTCCACTTTAGAAAAGTTGGTATTAAAGAACTGTAACATTTATATTTTGCTATGTTTTACAGTGTTTTCATCCCAGTAAACACTGTTAATGTGGTTTTCCAAATCGCAAAAGCAGAAATATAAAGTCAAAGTATACTTATCAAGTGAACTGGTACGGTCACATTTTGGTTCAACAGTGTTCTTATTTTCAAGGTCTTTTTTCAAACCCACTTACTTATCCAATGTTTTAACTGAGATCCGAAGAAGTCATGTTCACGCAAACCGCATCATCACACTACCGTTGTCATTGCGCACTCAAGCCTGGAAGAATTGCAATGATACCCTGTACCCAGACTCGGAGGTCAGATACGGTCAAGAAACTGATGGAAACACCAGGGATTGTGCTTTATGAGTGCGGAAAATTCATTAGAGGTCTCCTTGCCTGCTATTTTTATTGTTATATGAATTAAATCTTACTATACCTGCCACAACTTATTGCCTACATTTATCCAGGATTAGTTTGGAGCCATCATAGTCAGAGTAAACTCCACCACTCTAAACTTGAGTGTTTTCTTCAAATACACATCAATCTCTTGTATTATCAGTGTTACACTATATATGTGTTCTCTTCTCCTCTATGCTTCAGTGCCTTGCAAAAGTATTCACCCCCTTGACTTTTTACCTATTTTGTTACATTACAGCCTTAAGTTCAATGTTTTATTAATCTGAATTTTATGTGATGGATCAGAACACAATAGTCTAAGTTGGTGAAGTGACTAAAAAATATATACATAAAACTATTTTTTAGAAATAGAAAACAGAAAATTGGCATGTGCGTATGTATTCACCCCCTTTGTTTTGAAGCCCATAAAAAGCTCTGGTGCAACCAATTACCTTCAGAAGTCACATAATTAGTGAAATGATGTCCACCTGTGTGCAATCTAAGTTTCACATGATCTTTCATTACATATACACACCTTTTTTGAAAGGCTCCAGAGGCCGCAACACCTAACCAAGAGGCACCACTAACCTAATACTGCCATGAAGACCAAGGAACTCTCCAAACAAGTAAGGGACAATGTTGTTGAGAAGTGTAAGTCAGGGTTAGGCTATAAAACAATATCCAAATCTTTGATGATCCCCAGGAGCACCATCAAATCTATCATAGCCAAATGGAAAGAACATGGCACAACAGCAAACCTGCCAAGAGACGGCCGCCCACCAAAACTCATGGGCTGGGCAAGGAGGGCATTAATCAGAGAGGCAGCACAGAGACCTAAGGTAACCCTGGAGGAGCTGAAGAGTTCCACAGCAGAGACTGGAGTATCTGTACATAGGACAACAAAAAGCCATCCACTCCATAGAGTTGGGCTTTATGACAGAGTGACCAGAAGAAAGCCATTACTTTCAGCAAAAAAACAAATGGCACATTTTGAGTTTGTGAAAAGGCATGTGGGAGACTCCCAAAATGTATAGAGGAAGGTGCTCTGGTCTGATGAGACTAAAATTTTACTTTTCGGCCATCAAAGAAAACGCTATGTCTGGCGCAAACCCAACACATCACATCACCCAAAGAACACCATCCCCACAGTGAAACATGGTGGTGGCAGCATCATGCTGTGGGGATGTTTTTCAGCATCCGGGACTGGGAAACTGGTCAGAGTTGAGGGGAAGATGAAGGGTGATACATACAGGGATATTCTTGAGCAAAACCTGTACCACTCTGTGCATGATTTGAGGCTAGGATGGAGGTTCACCTTCCAGCAGGACAATGACCCCAAACACACTGCTAAAGCAACAATGGGTAAAAATCCCAGTGTTAAGATGTGGCAAGCTCATAGAGACTCAAAGCGACTTGGAGCTGTGATTGCCGCAAAAGGTGGCTCTACAAAGTATTGACTTTAGGGGGGTAAATAGTTATGCACATTGACTTTTTCTGTTATTTTGTCCTATTTGTTGTTTGCTTCACAATAATAAAAAAAAAACATCTTCAAAGTTGTGGGCATGTTCTGTAAATTAAATGATGCAAATCCTCAAACAATCTATGTTAATTCCAGGTTGTGAGGCAACAAAACACCAAAAATGCCAAGGGGGTGAATACTTTTGCAAGGCACTGTATGTCATATTGAACCTACCTGGCTATATATTGTGATACTCAATTGAACCATCTGGCAATATACTTACCTGTATGGACAATATATTGTAAGTGTCCTTTAGAGTGTGATTGGAAGTGGCAATTTTCACAAATCAAAACTGTGCTTTACATTTGCACTGAATTTCATTTTGCACTATTTTGATAATTTATATGAATGTGGACTTTATAAGGATATTGCACACTTGCACTCTGAGAGTGCACTTTACATGGCTCTTGCACTTTACAAAGACATTATACATTTGCACTTTTAGTGAAGTTCCACTTAATCAGACGAACGCATGCTGAAACCAGCCATGAATGATAGACAATCAAGCTTACATATGAAAGGGGTCATCACAGAAGCAGTCTACATCCCCTAAGAAGATCCTAAAGACAAAACACGTCGGGACTTATTGTACTTTTATATTTTACACTTTGTATTTTGATTTTACTTACTTAATACTGCTTGCTGCTACTTACACCTGGAGAATTGCTGACATGTCTATAGAGTTCCTGAGATCCACATAGTATAGAGATATGCAATTGTATTCTGGATGTTTGTAAGTGCATTTATCCATTAAACTTTTTAGAGAAAAGATGTGTTGCACTAGTTTCCTTACCATTTATATCCTTGAACATATAGCAAGACTATCATTGGATTAATAGAACTCTATATTTTTTGATTTTATATGGGTTTGGGGTGTTAGTGAGGCACCTTTTGGAGCCTTTTCTTTACTTTTATACAAGTTTTTGAGTACCAGGAATGGAGGGGACAGGTAGGCTATAATAAAGGAGGCAATGATACCAGCTATGTTGGATAGAATTGTGCCACCATTCATGCAGGAATCATGAGCTACCAGAGAAACTAGAATACATGTACCGTCTCTGAAGCTTCCATAAGTGATGATCGATATCTCAGGAATTGCCAATTTGTTTTTCTTGGATCATTTGTCCACATGTTCTCCCAGGTGAAGATACGTAAATTGATCAGACCTGCGACTGGGAAAGACGCCAGAAAAAAAAAGACAAAACACATTTTCATGTGTCAGACATAGAGACTTTTGAGAAGGCATCCATTCAAAGAAAACACCAGGGATGTTAAACATTCATTTAGAAAGAACCCAGAGAATAAGCATTTCCTATCAACATTAATCATGTAAATGAAAATTGTACTTTAGTATTCACTGACCAAGTTAGAAGTGCCCCATGCGATGCACCCACCAATGACTGATAAACTGTGGTTTAGAGTAAGTTACACTTAAATGTCAAGCCTGTCTTTCATCTCCCAAACTGTATAAGCAGTAAATGGAGAAATTTAGCTACCTTTTGCCTCTCTAATTAGGACTACTTAGTAACTACATTATAAAGGAACTATAGATCAAGAAGAAGAATGAGAATTTCAAGAATTTGTTTTTGATTAGAGTACCACTTTAATGCAGTATTTTAATATAACACTGTTTTAATAAGAGTAACTTATTAATGCAGTGGTTTAATATAACACTGGTTTTGGTTGGTGTAACCTTGCTGACATAACAAAAAAAATGTAGAATAAATGATTTTAAATATTACTAGCACTGCCAGCATGAAAAAAGTTAAATTCCCTTGGCGACGCAAGGGTTCATTGAGAGGGGGCTGCCCAGTGATTCATGTTTCAAAAAATAATAAATGTTTCAAAAAATAAATTAATAAATAAAAACCCTATAGTGTTCAAAAGGATGCCTTATTACTATAAGGGAGATTTAAAACCATCCTATGCCCCCATTCTAGAGATTAGTCATCCCATGGAGATGGGCCATGTAAAATAACATAAGGAAAATAGTCTTGATGCCCACTTTAAAATAAATAAGTCAGGGTGCAAAGGTCACTGACCATCCTCCTGCCCCTACTCATGGTCAGTGGGTGAATGCTATTATAAGATGGGGGGAACTTAGTGCATTATGGGCAGGGGCACTATATAATATTCAGGTGGAGGGCTTAGTGTACCCTCCATCCATTGGTCGGCAGGTAGGGACCCTAATAAAAATATTCAGGGGAAGTCCTAGAATCATGACCCATTTGGTATGGGGGTCATATATTTTTGATGAGAGCAACCAGTTGAAGCTCTCAGCCAATTTTTGACTGTGGGTATTGACATCCAGTTTCTGCTGGTCTACAGAAACTGAATGCATGTCACGTGGTGCGGAGGAGGCTCAGCAACCGTCAGGGACCAAGGTAAAAGGACAAATCATTTGCACTATTATTGGGGAACAATACCAGGGTAATAATCCTGACATCATAACCTCTGCAACCAACTGAAGTGGTTATAATGCTTGGAGTGACCCTTTAAATAAATATTACAATAGAAAACCGTATTAATATTATTATACTCACTGTAGAGGTCTGGGAAATATGATGTACCTAACAATAAGATAATACAAAAAATAATTAATTTAAACGTATCCTTGATTTAGTTTGAAACCCAAAGTCTCTTTTTTCATATTTTATATTAGTAGTTTTAATCCCATGAAAACACCAGTTTCTATTAGATACTATTTCTGTAATTAACACTTTAAATTTTTTTTTTAGCATTATAAAAAAACTATACATTACATAGTGTATGGTGTATTAACCAACTAAAAATAAGGTAACTACCTCTTCCATCTGTATATATGAGTATATGATACCAATGATGAGAGGTATGCAGCAGTTGAGATGTTGTTGCTTTTTGCGTTTCTAGAGATGTAAAACTATAATTACCATAGTTGTTGTTTGGCAGCATGAGGCAAGTAGAGCATCAAGCACCAAAAGACTGGATGCATCCCAACTCTAGCGTCCCAAGAATCAGGACACCTGTGGGAAAGGTTTAGTGGGGACAGGCCCATTGCATGCCATGCTTCCTGACAGCCTCCAAGCTTACTTCACTCCCAGTGCCTTCAGTATAGTGCAAGCATGTCTCATGTCTCAGTCCTTGCAATGTGTTTCCTGAAGACAGTTCTCTGGTGTTCCTGAATGTGAGACACAAGAAAAACAACCTAGAATTGCAGGCACTGCCTTACCAAAAGGATAATTGGGAGGCCTGAAACAGGGTGGATCATTTTCCTGGGGTTAAAGGGACACTCCACGGACCCAGACCACTTCTGCCCATTGGAGTGGTCTGGGTGCCAACTCCCTTAACCCTGCAAGTGTAATTATTGCAGTTTTTTTATAAACTGCAATAATTACATTGCAGGGTTAACTCCTCCTCTAGTGGCTGTCTAGAGGACACTTCCATGTCTATAGCACAGGTTCGCTCAATTCCC